CTTTTCACTATAGTCGATATTCCTTCCTCTTGGAATGTGGAAACTGGTAGATAGAGCAATAATAGTATATATTTTGTGTTGAGCATCTCGGTGGCGACGTGACTCACTACCTCTTATTTCTCACTAATAGGTCCAGAGCCAAATTCCTTTGTGCCGTCATTATTGATATCTCTTACTGCTCCAAAGCTAGGAGTGAGAGATTTCAAAGGCACACATTATTTAGGGGGAAGATTTGTTTCGCCGTAAGTGCAATATTATACTACCGCTGCAATTATTCAGAATTTATTGTTAACGATTAAGAATCCATTTAGGGCATTGGCAGAGAAATTTAATTTAAATCTGCCACCTTATCCGGGAACCGAACAAGTTGTTGATATCACGGGAATTCCAATATCAACAGAAGAGAGGTTGTAAATGGTTAAGTACTACATAGTAGTGTATTAAAAATAGGAGAGGTTCCCGTTCAAGCTATTGTTTATTGTGTCTTTTTTTTTTCTATAGTATGCGCACAACGCAATAAATACGGCAATTGATGTGAAACAGTATTAACAGGACAAGCATAAATAGATCTGTTATACATTTACTAGTTGAAGAATTTGCGATTTGGCGAGTGTCCGAAGAGAAGGACGCGAATTTCTGGAAGCATCTGTCATGAGATGAAAAAATTCAGCGGATTAGCCGCGTGTGAAACGTTATAATCAAAGAAAATTCGTATGCAATGAAATTCAGCTACTGATAAATGCTCATCATAGAGTAATATACTCCAATATGAATTAGCATGGTATATATTTCCATCATCAACCAACACCTCATGAATTACAAGATGTTTTCATCTTACCTCTTCTTGAGCAAGGTTCAGTCTTTCTTCCAGTGTATTATTGACTCTTATACGTCCGTGATTAGAAGTAAGAATAATACCACCCGCACTGTTTGATAGAATAAAATGTTGGATCAAGTTTATGAATAATTCTCAGCCCACCGCAAGACATTAACAAGTTACCTCGACGCGGGAACGTGGTGATCGCTTTCAACGGTTATGTCAACTTTTTGATTTGTTGCCGTATGATAAGCCTCTGATACCTGAGGAATGACTGACTCGACGAGATTGATGTCGGCTTTGCGCACGATAAGAGAGACGGACTCATCCAACAAGGAATATAACCCCTAAATAGCAAATTCGATTATTTAAAATCACGTGATATATTATTACAACGATTGAGAATCCCAACGATGTGTATACCTCTAGAATTAGATTTTTTAACAAGCTGGTATATTTAGCTTTATCAGCTGAGATCTCTTGCAATTTTTGTCTCGTATCATTGAACAATTCCTCAAGATATGCTTGACGAGTTTGGAGAACCTTCAGTCGAGATTTATTCACGAAATTTGATTGTGCTCTACAAAATAGGCGAATGGGATCATAATCGATGGGATTTCATTAAAACTATAGGTTGTATCAAACAGTAATTGAACGCTCCAAATTGACGTTAGAACATAACGACAGTCATGATCGATCTACTTATTCAAACTTACATCTTCTTTTGTACCTCGGCCTGTTTGATTTTCCTCTGGAAAGTAGCTTCAATATTGATCGATTCCTGGCGAACTAATTTGGCCTGTTTAAAATCATATGAACAAATATTACAAACGGTAAAAAAAAAAGTAATATCACTTTAACCACCCCTATAGATATATACCTTTTCAATATTGAATTCCTCGTCTGCCTACAAATAAAGATGAGAAATGTTGATGTGGTGAGCGATCAGATCATGATAAAACTAGTGCCCAGTTATATAATACTACACCATTCTACTGGTGCGTTGTTGAATACTGATTGAACATCATAATTTATAAAAACGTCTATGATTTCTAGCATAATACTCGTCATAATGTCAAGGTATCGTTTAGAACAAAAGAGTCGAGTTTGATCTACTGATTTAGTGCACAGGAATTAGCAGAACCGTAAATTAAGTACAATTCCTCACCTTAACACTAATTTCTCTTGCTTTCTCGATAGCTTCTTGGTTGATAAAAGCAACCTAGCAGATTATTAAATATTAGACCATATAGTCGTCAGTCAGTATCAGACAGATTAAACGAACCATTTTTTTCATTTCGGCGATGACTTCATCATCGTTGAGAGCACGAGAGTGAGACATGTTGGCAATTATTATGAATAGAAAGTGAGGGAGGAAGTAAAAGACGGGCTGATGGGGTAAATGAGTTATTATTATTGATCACTGCCATGTTAGGTTATACATACTTTTGATGAGATTGATCATCGGAAGATACTGTACGTTACACTCGTCACATTACCACATATTATTAGACAGCATACACAGACACGCGCACAAACCTAATTATACTCACAGAGCTTAATTGTCCGGAGCAAAGCGAAGGACTATTACTATGAAAAATTTCGATCACATGAATTTCTCTGTCCGGCACACGATCTCGACCATTGATGACGTCTCATGTAAAATCTCCCGTCATATTATAGTCACAGTCACTCCCCGTTACTGAAACAATTGTTGGAGGAAAACTGGTAGATTCGCCTCTTGCTCCCCATAGTGTTAATATCAGTACGATAACACGATTGAAGACATACAGCATTGGCTACTGAGTATATTTGTATTGATGAGTAATTACCTATTGAACGTTTTACCGATAATGATATTATTGCAACCCG